AAATCACCTGACCCTACCTGGAAATCACCATTTATTCATTCACTTAACCATTTATTGGTGAGACAACACACATACATAACACCTATTCCATACTAAAGAAGACACTGGGTATAAAAAGTGAATGAGGAGGGATGGGAAGCAATTAAGGCTTTACCTTCCAATGCAGGCTGTCCAGGTTTGATCCCTGATTGAGGAGCTAAGTAAGATCCCACCTGCCTTATGGCCAAAAAACTGAAAAGCCTAAACCAGAAGCAATACCATAACAAATTCAACAAAGCCTTTAAAAATGATCCACACCAGAAAAAAAAAAAAATCTTTTAAAAAAAGAGCAGCATGGAAACATAGATTCTAAGCATATATATAGATAGCCCATGGGAGCTTGCTATATGACTCAAGGAACTGAAACGGGGATTCTCTGACAATCTAGAGGCATGGGTGGGAGTGGGAAGTGGAAAAGAGGCTCAAGAGGGTGGGGACATATGTGTACCTATGACTGATCCATGTTGATGTATGTCAGAAACCAACACAATATTGTAACTGTTTTTCAGTTAAAAATAAATGTTAAAAAGGCATTAAAAAATCTTTAAAAATAACGAATGAGGAGGCTGTCAAAGGCCTTACACTGATGGTGAGGAGTTGGCCTCCCTCATGATGAGGAGTTTGGATTTTTTTCCAAACACGATGATGGGTAATGGGCAGTACTATGATTTGAATAGGCGGGGGTTCCTGAAATATCCCTCCGTTGGTGGTAAGGAGGATGGATAGCTGAGGAGTCCGCAATGCAGGGCAAGCGGTTGGCAGGTAGCGCTTGTCAACACGCAGTTGAGTCACTCTTCAAACCTCGGCTGAGTCACCCATCTTCTGTCCTTCCTCTGACTAAGACCCTCCTGGCCATCCCAGGAGTCAGCAACGCTGCCAAGGAGCCTGTCAACAGCCCGTTTGGGTGGGAGTGTTCACATTAGCCTCCTAAGCCACAAGCAGCCCCCGGGACTCAGTCATAAGATTTAATATGCAAACACACCATGCATGTGACTCCAAGTCACAAACACTCAGTGTAAAGCACACAGCTGTCCACATAGACTGAGTGACTTAAAAAATAAGCCTCCAAAGGATGCAGAGTTCCACTTTGGCTTTTCCTCTCAACAGCCTCCACAGCTTTGGGCCAGTCCAAAGACGTTAAGTCAATCGCTCAGTGGGTGAGACCTCCACACTAAATACAAATTATGGATCAGAGCATATAACCTAGCAGTAGAGACCATGTTTCAAAAGAAAAGAAAAACAAAACCAGGAGAATTTTTTTTTTCAATATTAGTCAACTATAGACTGGAAAATAGAAGGAAAATATCATATTAATAATAATTATCAGAAGGTGAGAGTTTATATGCTTCAATGTTGTTCCAACATAAATGTCACTGTAAGAAATCATATTTCATTTCAATACTAACAAATCAGATACTTAGTGTGCTGGGAGAAATGATTGGAACTACTTTAAAGCTGCATTAACCAGAGAAACTGCAAAAATATTTATATTCTTATGAAGGAAGGAGGGAATGCCCCCTGTGGGGGTATTTAAGCACCCTCCATCTTATGGGTAATGTGCAGTACTATGATTTGAATAGGCGGGGGTTCCTGAAATATCCCTCCGTTGGTGGTAAGGAGGATGGATAGCTGAGGAGTCCGCAATGCAGGGCAAGCGGTTGGCAGGTAGCGCTTGTCAACACGCAGTTGAGTCACTCTTCAAACCTCGGCTGAGTCACCCATCTTCTGTCCTTCCTCTGACTAAGACCCTCCTGGCCATCCCAGGAGTCAGCAACGCTGCCAAGGAGCCTGTCAACAGCCCGTTTGGGTGGGAGTGTTCACATTAGCCTCCTAAGCCACAAGCAGCCCCCGGGACTCAGTCATAAGATTTAATATGCAAACACACCATGCATGTGACTCCAAGTCACAAACACTCAGTGTAAAGCACACAGCTGTCCACATAGACTGAGTGACTTAAAAAATAAGCCTCCAAAGGATGCAGAGTTCCACTTTGGCTTTTCCTCTCAACAGCCTCCACAGCTTTGGGCCAGTCCAAAGACGTTAAGTCAATCGCTCAGTGGGTGAGACCTCCACACTAAATACAAATTATGGATCAGAGCATATAACCTAGCAGTAGAGACCATGTTTCAAAAGAAAAGAAAAACAAAACCAGGAGAATTTTTTTTTTCAATATTAGTCAACTATAGACTGGAAAATAGAAGGAAAATATCATATTAATAATAATTATCAGAAGGTGAGAGTTTATATGCTTCAATGTTGTTCCAACATAAATGTCACTGTAAGAAATCATATTTCATTTCAATACTAACAAATCAGATACTTAGTGTGCTGGGAGAAATGATTGGAACTACTTTAAAGCTGCATTAACCAGAGAAACTGCAAAAATATTTATATTCTTATGAAGGAAGGAGGGAATGCCCCCTGTGGGGGTATTTAAGCACCCTCCATCTTTTGGATAAATGGTAATGCTAAACAAAAAAATGGAAAGATGACCTTAGAATAATAACCTCAGGACCCAACTGGGACTCAGCTTCTCAAAATACAAAAGTCATTTGCAGTATGTTCAGGATGGAAATTTCTATACAGCTTTATAGCTCATAGATTTCATTATATGCCTCAGACAAAAATCACTGAAACACCCAATTCTGGGCTAACTTCCTCTCCCCTGGGTGCCCCCCCAATATGTAAAATTACTCACCATCCTCTTGTTCAGTCTGCAATTCTGCTCAGTTACTCAACAACATTTGTAAGAACAGAAAAACAAAGGGAAAGGGAAAAACAATCCTTTCAGAGAGGTGTTTCATATGCAGAATAGGATCTTGAAAGCAAAGCCAGGTCTGGCACTGTTAGGACTTTTCTCTAAGCCAATTCCTTCTCCATCCTTCCTTATAGAGACCCCATGCAAAGGTCATATGGAAAATTTCACAGGACAAATGCTGAGTCCATATCTGAAAGCCATCCCACTGGGCAAGCTTCTTTCACTGTTTGTCATTTCCAACCACCACCGTGTATGTTGCCTGAAAGATGGAGTGTTGGTGAGGGCCTGAACCTATGAGTCACTTAGTTTTCAAACAACAGCTCCAAGGGCCTTTGAGTGTCTGGTTGATTTATTCTGAATGGCATTGATACTTATGTGACTAGAAGCTGTTAGCCTGAATTGGTGCTTGGAGAAACAAAGTCAATGAAAGTCACCAATCCAATAAATCTGTGAGGGATGCATGGAGTTGTCTTTTAAACAAGTGACTGGCCCATTTCCATCGAGAAGCATACAGCGAGAGGCACAAGTCTATAAGCATAACGTCTTGAGTCACAATAGTCCAGGCTTTTTTTTTTTTTCCAACCCTATGGGTTTTAAATGTCAAGAAAGTGAACAGAATCCTAATGCAATAACCCCCCAAGTACATTTGTTTATGTATTTTCTTTTGGCCTTTACAAAAATGTTGCCTAGCAGGAAGAGGCATGAGAGTGCATTCAGTTGCTCAGTCGAGTCTGACTCTCTGTGACCCCACGCACTGTAGCCTGCCAGGCTTCTCTGCCCATGGGATTCTCCAGGCAAGAATACTGGAGTGGGCTGCCATTTCCTCCTCCAGGGTTATCAGGAAGGAGAGGAATCCTTAATAGTATCTGCATTTCATACATGAAACATAGAGGTTTACAGAGGCAAGCACTGTACAACACTGCCATTAACTGGAAGAGTGAGATCTTTACTCTGAATCGGGTTGATGTTTAGAAATAAAGATTAATTCATTCTTGTAGTTTATTAATTCAGTAATAAAAACTATTCTTTCAAGCTACTGTTTATAGACAAACTGATGACTTAACAGAATTTCTAGGTCAAACTGGTTGGTCAGTAGCCCTATGTTGAAAAATATCTCTGAGCAGATGGGAAGTTAGATAATGTTCATCACCCACCTGTCACTCCCTGAACTGCCTTTGATGGCTAACAGATTTCTACAGGCACTGGATTGTGGAGACGTCAAGTGCTTCCTAATGGTTCCAGGAGAGGATCAAAGCCATCACGGTGGGCTTTAATGCCAGGAACGTCCAGGAATCCTCAGGGTTGAATAGAAGTCACCGCGGAGTAGTCTGTCATCTTGCCCAACACATGTAGAAGAGTCTATTGCCCTGGCACCATCACTGTGCCCCTTATTTATGCTCCTCTAGTGGGGGAGTGGGAGAAGGAAAGGGCAACCCACTCCAGTGTTCTTGCCTGGAGAATCCCAGGGACGGGGGAGCCTGGTGGGCTGCCGTCTATGGGGTCGCACAGAGTCGGACACGACTGAAGCGACTTAGCAGCAGCAGCAGCAGTGGGGGAGTGGGACAAGCAGCTCTCAGAGCTACCAAGCCGCTCATACACATAATACAGCTGTAGGAAGAATGTGATGCATTCCAGCCCTTCCCTTCACTGTTAAAACACGAGTCCCGGGCCCGCTCATCTCGGGGAGACACGCATCGGGCACACACTTCTGTCCACTCTGCGACAGCAGGATAACAGAGAGCCGCTGAACACAAAAGACAAAAAAACACCAACCATATATGTCTTGACGATATCGACTCCCTAATCTATGCCTTTTTTTGATGATGCATTGGGGACTGGTCTGTGTGTTGCAAAAGGAAAGAAAATGTTCTCATACATAAAACAGGTCCAGGAAGAGGTTCCATAAAAGCTAGGGGTGCCTGTCTGAGGTGGCTGCCTACCGCTTGCCGGAGAGGGCAGATGATTGAAATACCAAAGCAGCAGGCAGGCACAGATTGCTTCCAGGATCAACACAGATTGTGCTGCCAGGGAAAGCATTCATTGAACTAGTTCTTCTGCAAGATCAACGGTGCTGGGCCAGACTTTGCCTGGAGACTTCTTCCTCTTTCAGACTAGACAGCGGGATCAATGGGCATGCAATAGTTCTCCATCACAGTGCATTGCTGCTGGACAGAAAACAGAGGTATCCCACAGCCTCACATACCTGATAGGGACCCTGGTTGCAACCACAGTAGCTGCTCTCCATGGTGTAGCTTCTGGACACCCCCATCTCTCTCCACACCACTATCCGGGCTGTGGAGGCCCGAGATTTCTCCACAAGGAAGCTGCAACTGCTCATGGTAAACGCTGGTGCAAGTTTATCAAGGATTTTGGGAAGAGTCTATAATTAAGAAAATCAAAATTATGGTGAGTTGCAGAAGATTGAATCTATGCACCATTAAAAAATAATAATAATTTCTTAGTAAGTATTAAGCATCTGAATATATCAAACACTTAATACATGCAACTATAAATCTTATATCAATCCTAAGTATTGAGTACCAATTTTTTAATCCTTTTCTTTAGTTATTGTTACTGTTTAGTTGCTAAGTCATGTCTGACTCTTTGTGACCCCATGGACTATAGCTCACCAGGCTCCTCTGTCCATGGAATTCTCCAGGCAAGAATACTGGAGTGGGTTTCCATATCCATCTCCAGGGGATCTTCCTAACCCAGGGATCGAACCTGGGTCACCAGCATTGGCAGGCTCTTAACCACTGAGCCACTTATGAACACCCCTTTTTTCATTTTAAAGATGAGGAAACTGAAGCTTAGAAAAGTTAGAAAGAATTAGCTGAAGCTCAACTACAAAGTGGGTGGGATGGGATCCAAATGCCAACATGGCCAACTCCAAAGACTATGATTTTTCAACCTCATCTTCCTGCATCACTATGAACCAGTATACCCAACCTCATACAGTACTGTACTGAGCCCCATGGGAAGCCACAGACTTCACAGGGACCTGAAATTTAGAGAGTGGCTCAACCCAGACTCCCTGTTTTCTGGCTGGATTTTCACTTATCTCAGACATACGGATCACTGGTGCTTCTTGAGCGGGAGCACTTATAAAGTTAAGTTGTTTCCTGAAAGAGCATAACTGCCAAAATGAACTTTTCAATCTCATCCTCTGATCTATAAATCTGAAGTTAGGCCAATTATAAAACTTACAAAATCCCATACTCTCTGGATTCGTCTATACCACGTGCGATCACTTAGTCTCCATTTAGAAGGTTACTGTATGTCCTGTGCGTGTGTGCAGTCATTTTAGTCCTGTCCAACCCTCTGCAACCCCATGGACTGTACCCATGAGATTACTCTGTCCATGGGATTCTCCAGGCAAGAATACTGGAGCAAGTTGCCATTTCCTATTTCAGGGGACCTTCCTGACCCAGAGATCCAAACTGCGTCTCTTGCCTCTCCTGCATTGGAAGGCAGGTTCTTTACCACCGTACAGCCAGGGAAGCCAGAAGGCATTGGTAGACCCTAGTCTATCTAAAGAAAGGGGACTACTAGTCCCCGGCCCTTCCCAACCCCCAGGGGTGGTATCCGACAGTTGATGGTACACGGAGTCTTTGGGACAGCAGAAATACTACCCTTGGGCAGTTCAGAACTTCTGTGATATGAACGCAGAGGGTTCTCTCACTTCAGTGTTAGCAAAGTCTCCAAAAATTAGCACATAATAAAAAATGTATATAGATTAGATAAGAAATGGCATAATGTCAGTCTTTGGACAAATTGCTGGGAGAAGGTAGACAAGTAGAACAAAGGGATGAAAATGTAAATTTAGGAACTATTTTTCAAGAAATGCAGTTTTTTTTTACTTTTAGAACACTAAGCAAATCTCTTAATATATCTGGTTCTTACTGTACCCATGCTTAACATAGCTATTATATTAATATAAGGATTAATATAATTAATTATAATAACATTTGAAATAAATATATATTAATGTATTTATTAATATATTCTACTATGATCACTAAGTTCCTACATAGGCTCCAGGCCTATAGCATTATAATTTTAAGGGAAATGAAGTGTTAATGTTATCCTCAGAGTTTCTGAAATTCCTCCTAATCAGTTTCATATATCCACTCTTGGGGACTTCCCTGGTAGCTCAGCGGGTAAAGCATCCTCCTGCAATGCAGGAGACCCCAGTTCAATTCCTGGGTGGGGAAGATCCCCTGGAGAAGGGATAGGCCCACTCCAGTATTCTTGGGCTTCCCTAGTGGCTAAGATGGTAAGAATCCACTTGTAATGAGGGAGACCTGGGTTCAATCCCTGGACTGGGAAGACCCCTTAGAGGAAGGAATGGCTACCCACTCCAGTATTCTAGCCTGGAGAATTCCATGAACAGAGGAGTATTTCATGAAAAGAGGAGCCTGGCAGGCTACAATCCATGCAGTCACAGAGTTGGACACGACTGAGCAACTTTCATGCACTCATCCATTCTTGGGGCTTCCCAGGTGGCACCAGTGGTAAAGAATCCACCTGTGAAAGTGGGAGACACAAGAGATGCAGGTTTGATCTTGGGTTGGGAAGATTGCCTGGAATAGGAAATGTCTGCTTACTCCTGCATCCTTGCCTGGAAAATTGCACGGACAGATGAGCTTGGTGGGCTACAGTCCATGTGAACAAAAAGAGTCATACATGACTTAGCACACATTATTCTTGTCCCTCTTTTCCCATGATCCCTCACACCATTTTTTTCCTTCAAAGTGTTCATCACAATTACAGTGAAATTATTCTGTATGTAGCTAGTTGCTTATTTTCAATCTCTTTTGAAGCCTGGAAGTTCCATGAGAGCAAGCCTGTATCTTGCTCACAGGAAAATCTCTGCACATGGATCAGTGCTGCTTATAGAGAGTACTTCATAAACTATTCACTGGAAAAAATAGATCTGCTTATCCAAGCCTTTAAATGACTGCTTAAATAGACATAAATAGAGTATATTTCTAGTTTTGAGCCTGTACAATACTGTATTGAAAACTATAGCTTTGTATAGTCTGAAGTCAGGGAGTCTGATCCCTCTAGCTATGTTTTTCTTTCTCAAGATTGTTTTGGCTATTTGCAGTCATTTGTGTTTCCATACAAATTGTAAAATGTTTTGTTCTAGTTCTGTGAAAAAAAAGCCATTGGTAATTTGATAAGGATTGCATTGAATCTGTAGATTGATTTGAGTAGTATAGTCATTTTCACAATATTGATTCTTTCAATCCTAGAACATGGTATATCTCTCCGTCTTTTTGTGTCATCTTTGATTTCTTTCATCAGTGTCTTTTAGTTTTCTGCATATAGCTCTTTTGCCTTAGGTAGGTTTATTCTATCAACTAAAGTGATTGAGAATACTTGAATATAATTTCTATTTATCAGTGTTTTACTTTGTTGCAAAAAGTTTAATGTGACATCATTTAAATGATCTCTCCTTTCTTAAATTAAGTGAACCATGTTTTCTTAGCTAGTATAATCTCTCTCCAAAAAATCACACTCTATTAACGGTGTGAACTTGGAAAACTCCAGAATCTATGATGCCTTTACTGGAGCCTTGGAGCCTGGAGGACGTGAAACTTACGAAGTGCAATGGGGACATCCTTTTACACCTCTGCTGTGGCAATTTATCCATTCATTAAATAATGGGTGCCACACCCTCTCATTTACAGCAAAGTCTTCTGTTTCCCTTTTGATTTTACACAAATGGATCTAGGTCAGAGTGAGCGATTAAGACGATGATAGCTAGGATAACTGGAGGTCGTTTGATTTGTTTTGTTTTTAAATGATTAGGAAATTGATGAACTCTATACATGAACTGATCCATTGGAGACTTGGAAAAAGAGCAAAAATTCGTGGTGAGTCTATATTTAAGGCTGGATAGTACAGATTCTTTAGTTTAAATGTACTACTCATAAGAGATAATTTTATATAGGTCAGCATGACTGGTAAAATGAAATGTTTTAATCCAAGCTAGTTTCCTAAGTAAGATTATGCAGTTAAGCTTCTTGAGGTTTATCACCAGTACTCTGGTTGAGCCTTAGAGTAAATAGGACATGGAAGATAAGCTGCTGTTTCTGCATTAATAGCCTTGGGGGAATTCTAGTGATCAATAGCAGTTATGCTTCTAATAGGCACAAATGAACAGGGGAAACAATTCAGGACACAGGAGAAGTATTTTCAGGTGAGATAGAAGCTTGGTGGGCTTTTTCCCCCTTTTGATACTCACTAACCCTGAAGGTATTTCATAGTCAGTAAATTCATATATCCAGAATAATAAGTGGTTGAAAGTGAAAGTGTAGTCTCTCAGTTGTGTCTGACTCTTTGAGACACTGTGGACTGTAGCCCGCCAGGCTCCTCTGTCAATGGAATTCTCCAGGCAAGAATACTGGAGTGGGGCTTGAACCTGTGTCTCCAGCATTGCAAGCAGATTCTTTACCATCTAAGCCACAAAGGAAGCCCCTAAGAAGAGGTTGATGCCATCATAATTGTGATATCGTGATTGCAGTAAGAAATATATATATACTGGTTCTTCATTCCCAGTTCTGATATAAGATTCCTAAAACATTTGTAAATTCCTATCTGATAAGAATAATAGGAACATATTTTGTTCTAATAAGGTAACTCTGGGTGAGTTCCTGAATCACTCCTGGATCAGGGCTGATCATTACTTCTCTATGAAAGAGAAAGAGGTTAGAGATGGAGTCAATAAATGATCAAGCCCATGTGAAGATGTTCCCATAAAATCCAAATAGAAGGCAAGTTGGGGAGCTTCCAGGTTGGTGAACCCATCCATACACTGGGAAGTAATGCCTCCCCACTCCAACTACACACTTAGAGAAACTTGGGGCCCTCCCATATCCATATATCTTTTTAAATGGCTGTTTATCTTGTCAGTGACAGATTGCCACTTGCCATCCAATTTTACAATGATTAAATCATGAGCTGCTGCAATTTTATGAACCCAATTCTTGTATCTCCTCATATCTAGAAAATCACTAAAATTCTTCATGGTGATGATTCTCCTCATGACTAGTAGAAACCTTCTGCAAAAAAAATATATATATATATATATATATTTGATTGCATGTATTACCCCTTCATTAAAATCACATATATACTGACCTTCCCTTCTGCCTCTCTGGAGCAGTTTTTCAGAATTATCTGGGGTGCTATCTCCGGAGCTGTAGGCCTCACTTTTTCCTCAATGAAACTTAACTGGAAACTCTCAGTTTGTGACTATTTTAAGTCAAAAATCTGTATCCTTTAGCATATCCTTTACTAAACTGGTAAATGTAAGTAAGTGTTCCTTAGAATACTATGAACTATTCTAGGAAATAATCAGACCCAAGTGGGAGGAGATCATGGAAACCCCTGATTTATAGCCGAGTCAGACAGGAGTTGTGAGTAACCTGGGGACCTACTACTTGCAATTGGCATCTGAAGTGGGGGGATGTCTCCTGGGACTGAGCCTTTAACCTGAGAGATCTGATGTTATCTCTGGGTAGACAGTGTTAGAACTCAGTTAAATTGTAAGACACTCAGCTGTTATCACAGAATTGCCTGGTGGAGGGGAAAATGCAAATATCTGATCCTCAGCAGTGTGGTGAGGATCTTCACCACCTTCCCAGGTGGTGCAGTGGTAAAGAATCTGCCTGCCAGTGCAGGAGATGCGGGTTCTATCCCTGGATCAGGAAGATCCCCTGGAGAAGGAAATGGAAACCCATTCCAGTATTCTTGCCTGGGAAATCCCATGGACAGAGGAGGCTGGCGGGCTACCATGGGGTCACAAAGAGTCAGACATGACTTAGCAACTAAGCAACAGTGTGGGAAACAAAATGTTCTGTATAAAAGGAAAGGATAAAGACATAGGAAGAGAACCAGGTTTTTCCAACAGAGTCATTTTTTCCTTTTCCTCTATAAATTTGAAACAAAGGCCAATTTTTATTTCGTTTGGATAACTTGACCTCTTCTATATCTTCCTAATACCCAGTAAGCAGCAGCTTGTCTACTTTATCCCAACAGAAAGAAGTCCTTCCTTCCTTCCCCCTCCATAACCTCATTTGGGTTCAGTGTGGGGATAGCTGATCTCTAGCTACTGGAACCCAGAAACAAAGAGAATTAGGTTCAGGGGATCAGTGTCTACTTTTTAAAGTATGCTCAAAAGAGGAATTTGGATGGTGAAATGCCTTAATTTTTTTCGTCCCTTCTTATTTATTTAAGATCCTTTCCAATTCAGTATCATTTTGTTCCTTCTGTAAATATATAACAGGGGCAGTATTTTCATTATCCTTGTTTCACAGGTGACAGAATGGTGGTTCAGAGAGATGATGTTAATGGATCATAGTCACACAGTTAATAGTTACAAAGTCAGGAATTAAAATGAGGTTTCCTATCTCTAATTCTATGCACTATATCACATCATACAGAAAACAAAAAACAAATTGAGAGTAACCAGGCAGGAAGCCATTATTCATCAAAAGTGAGGAAAAGATAACACATGCCTTCAACCTGCTTGTACTATAATCCTATAGTTAAAATAATCAAAATGCTTATTCAGGAAAATAATGGTTGAGGCATGTCTCAAAGGCCAGAATCCGGACACAAAATTTTTTATGTCATTCCCTGAAATGACTTACCCGGTAGCTGACATCTTCCAAGAGATTCGATGTACCTACAGTAGACTCTGCTTGCCACAAAGTCTCTTTGATGCTACAGCCATAAAGGAATACATTCTTCTTTTGGGAGTGACCATGGAAATCACAGAAGACCTGCAAGGACCAAATAAAGGAGAAACCAAGTCTGTGAGTTTCTTATATGTTAACCATATTAAACATTTTTAAAATGTCAACTTTCTTAGGTAGATACTGTTTACTTAGCAGAACCAGACACATGGGGACCACTGTCAACTTCAGCAAGAGTTCTGTGTGTAGAGTTTCAAGGAGGAAGTTAGGTTGGAAGGACCTCAGGGTTGAGCAGGATGCAAAGAAATATAATTCATGTAAAGCCCTTCTGAGAACTTTTCTTATGAGAGGGGAGGATACACGGTCCAAACTGGAAGAGGAAATAAAAAATAACCTTTAGGAAATATGTCTATCTTCCATCCAGTTTTTGATTGCATTTTTTTTTTGATATTGAGTTTCATAAGCAGTTTGTATGGTTTGGAAATAAATCCTTTGTCAGTTGCTTTGTTTGCAAATACTTTCTCCCATTCTGAGGGTTGTCTTTTTATCTCATTTATGGTTTTCTTTGCTGTGCAAAAGCTTTTAAGTTTAATTAGGTCCCATTTGTTTATTTTTCTTTCTATTTTTGTTACTCTAGGAGGTGGGTCAAAGAAGATCTTGTTGTGATTTATGTCCAAGGGTGTACTGTCTATGTTTTCCTCTAAGAGTTTTATAGTGTCAGGTTTTACATTTATCTTTAATCCATTTTGAGTTTATTTTTGTGTATGGTGTTAGAGAGTGTTTTAAATTAGAACTTTAATATGTAGCTGGACCAAGAATCTATTATGCAGAATGAAAATCAGAAAATCAAATACCATATATTAACACTTATTTGTGGAATCTAGGAAAATGTACAGATGAACCTATCTGCAGGGCAGGTATAGAGACTCAGAGGTAAGGAACGGACGGGTGGACACAGGGGAGTTGAGGGGGTGGAATGAACTGGGAGGTTGGGTTTAACATATACACACTGCCATGTGTGAAACATCGTCAGTGGGAACCTGCTTTACAACACATGGAGCTCAGCCCGGGCTCTGTGATGACCTAGATGGATCGGGGGAGGGTTGGAGGGAGTCTCAAGACGGGGGACATGTGTCTACATGAAGCCGATTCACGTTACTGTGCAGCTGAAGCTAACACAACACTGCAAAGCAACTCTACCTCAATTTAAAAAAGAAGGAATCACCTTCAATAGTTTTCCCATACAAACTCCAGTTAATAAATATAGAAGAAATGAAGTAAATAGAAAATCACCATTAAAACACCCTGTAATAATTGCTGGCAAGATGGATGCCAAAATTAACGCGAAAGATTTGTGGAGCAAAGGGATTATTTGCATAGTGTCCAAATCTCTCCTCCAAGATGTTAACTGCAAAAGGAAAAACAGTAACCTTACCATGGAGAAATCTGGCAGACATTACCTTAACCAAGTAACCAAGGTAAACATCACCAATAACAGATGCAGTAACAAAATTCATATTGAAGAAAAATTTTAAAATGACTAGCACTCTTTAAAATCATCGAGGTCATGAAAGACAAAGAATGTGTGAGGGATTCTCACAGAGGAGAAAATAAGGAAATATGAAATCTAAGCATGATGAGGATTGTGGATTAATCTTGAAACAAACAAAAAAAATTGGTCTGCAAAGCTTATAAGTCTGTCATTTCATTTATATTAGCGTTCCAATATTAACCTTCAGTTTTGATAATTGTACCATAATTGTGCAAAACATTAGCATTAGGGGAAAGTGGATGAAGTATGTATGTGTGTGTTTAGTCACTCAGTTGTGTCAGACTCTTTGCAACCCCACAGACTGCAGCCCTCCAGACTCCTCTGTCCATGGAATTCTCCAGGCCAGAATACTGGAGTGGGTAGCCTTTCCCTTCTCCAAGGGATCTTCCGCACCCAGTGATCAAACCCAAGTCTCCCGCATTGCAGGCAGATTCTTTACCATCTGATCCATAAAGTGAAAGAAAGTGAAGTCGCTCAGTCGTGTCCGACTCTTTGCAATTCCATGGACAGTAGCCTGCACCAGGCTCCTCTATCCATGGTATTTTCTAGTCAAGAGTACTGGAGTGGGTTACCATTTCCTTCTCCAGGGAATCTTCCCAACCCAGGGATCAAACCCAGGTCTCCCAAATTGTAGACAGATGCTTTACCATCTGAGCCACCAGGGAAGTCCTGCTAGGGAAGCATATATGGGTATTGTCTATTTTTGAAACTTTTCTAAAATTGCTAATTTTGGAACTTTTCTAAAATTATTTCAAAACCAAAATGAAAAAATAATATAGTATAATATTTAGTTAAAATCTAGAATGCAAAAATAGGTTGTTTCAACATCAAAAATAATTCAATGTGATTCCCTACATTTATAGACTAAAGAAAGAACTAATATGATAATCATAATTGATGCATAAAAATGTTTAATAAGATTCAATACCCATACAGGATCAAAAAGTAACATACAATCTTATAAGATAGGCTCAAGGATATACTGCACAACACAGTGAATATAGCCAATATTTTGTAATAACAGTACATGGAAAGTAATCTATAAAATTGCATAAAAATAAAAATGTAAAAAAATATGCATTTACAGACAGAATTTCCTTAACCTAAGAACCATTACCTAAAAAACAGTTCATAGTATAATTTTTGATGAAATATTATGCTTGATCCCTGAATTCAGGAAAAGACCTGGCACTAAGATTCAATTGTAATTGATGGTATAATTGAATTAAAAGAAAAATAAACATAAGAGAAAAAAAACAGTATAAGATTTTAAAAGAGTAAATAAAATTGTCTTTTATCTCCATATAAAGACTGCGAAATGCAGAATATAAAAAATCTATACATACAAATTATTGCAAAATTGCAGGTAAGAATGTTAACATATAAAAATCAAGTGCATTTATAAATACTATAAATGTACCAAAAAAGTCTAAAGTTCAAAACAGTATTTTATATGCTATGAAATATGAAATGACCAAATTGTCAACATGTGCTGGATCATAAATTTAGCAAGGGAATTCCAGAAAATCATTTAACTTCTGTTTCATTAACTACTATAAAACCTTTGACTGTGTGAATCACAAAAAACCTTGGAAAACAGTATTTAAAATAGCATAAGAGCATGAAACTCATAAGAATAACAGACATTATTATTGGTAAAACAATACATAAATTGATCAATAGAGAAAAGTAGATATTACAAGGAGAGTCTCACAGTCACTTGATCCATGACAGAGTTCACACACTGGTACAGTGGGAAAAGACGGTTTTAGGAGGCTTGAATTCCAGTGTAAAATATGTAGAAAAATAGAAGTAAATATTTATCCTTATAATATGTTAAAAAAGTATCCACATAAATTATAGATCCTAACATGGAAGATAAAATAATAAAGTAACTTGAGGGTAACATAGGTTACTATGTATGACCCTGGAGTTGGGAAAGAGTTCTTAATGAGGATGAAAATAAAAACTAAAAATAAATAAAAACATTAAAAAACTAGATACATTTCATTGAGAATTTCTTTTGAAGCAAAACCACCGGGAGAAATGTGAAAAGGCAAACCAAAGAGTGAAATAATATATGCGCAGTATATACATCCAACAAATGATTCATCGAGAATGTATACACATATCAATAAGAAAAAAAACAAGCAACTCAAGTTTTAAATGGACAAAAGAAGAAGTTCCAAATGGCTGTTAAGCAAATGAAAATGTACTCAACCTCAATCAATATCTAGGAAATATAAAACCACAGTGAGATGTGGCTGCATCTAATGTGTTATTAGGACTCCTAACGTCATGAAAAGAAAACAGCAGAAGTGGAACTCTGGAACCCAGCCTGTGGGACCATGTGCCATACCACAATGACGGAAAACAATTTGGGAATGTCTTCAAAGGCTGAATACACACGTATTCTAGAACCTGCCCAACAGAAATGCATGCATTGGGCACGAGAAGACAGCAAGAATATATTGGGTTGAACAAAAAGTCCAGTCGGGTTTTTCTGTACCATCTTAAGGAAAAAACCTAAACAAAAATTTTGGCCAACCCATACACAGCAGCACTATTTTTCGTAGCCTAAATCTGTAAGCAGTAGAATTGATTCATAAATTGTGCTATAATTGTTCAACAAAATACCATCCAGGATTGAGAACGCAAGAACAAGCTAGATATGAAAGAGCACAGCCGTATGATTTCCTTTATAGGACATTCAAACACAGGCGGAAGTATTCCACTGAAAGAAGTTAGAATAATGTCTATGCTTGAAGGTAGGAGGACATTACATTATGGCCTGGGGTCTGGGTTATGTGTGGTGTTCTGTCTCTTGGTTTCCTTGACAGTTACATGGTATGTTCATTGTGTGAGAATTTATCAAGCTGTGGAGGTGTATTCCGTGTACTTAACATTAAAATGGGATGCAGACACACTTCGGTGTTTCAAAGAGACAGAAGTCCCAGAATTTCGTTGAGGTATTTTCTCACATTTGTTCCTTAGTTTCTAGAAATGTAGTCTTTATGTAATAAGCTAATCACACAGGGTAAGTAACAGAAGGTGCTTGTCCAATTTGCTAATGATACAGAATTGAGGATAACTGAGGGAAGAATGGGCTTCTTCATTGGCGCTAGTGGTAAAGAACCCACCTGCAAATGAAGGAGATATAAGAGACATGGGTTCGATCCCTGGGTCAGGAAGATCCCCTGGAGGAGGGCGTGGCAACCCACTCCAGAATTCTTGCCTGGAGAATCCCATGGACAGAGGATCCTGGCGGGCTACAGTCCATGGGGCCACAAAGAGTTGGACCCAACTACAACTACCACACATATGCACGAGAGAGTAGTAATGACCTTGAATGAATGAGAGCACAGTAAACAAGTAAGAGCGGAAATTATAAGTGGAAAAAAGAAAAGAACTTGTGGAAAATGAAACACTTAAAGTAGAATAAATGCAGCTCCTACAATTAGATGCAAACATTGGCAAAAGAAAAGAGACATTCAGCTTAGCAGTAGGTTTTGAATGAGAGATTTGGAGGTTTTAA